ACCGCTGCTGCGCGAGCTGCACTGGTTACCAGTGGCCTTCCGGGTACGCTTTAAGGTGTTAGTTACCACCTTTAAAGCGCTCCATGGCATCGGACCTGGATATCTCCGAGACTGCCTTCTGCCACAGATTCCCTCTCACAGACCGGTACGCTCCCACAGAGCGGGCCTCCTCAGGGTGCCGTCGGCCAAGCAATGTCGGATGGCGACCCCCAGGGGGAGGGCCTTCTCTGTGGGTGCCCCCACCCTCTGGAACGAACTACCCCCCGAGATCCGGACGATTCCGGATCTCCTAGCTTTCCGCTGCGCCCTCAAGACATGGCTTTTTCAGCAAGCGGGTCTGGCCTAGGGAGAATTTTAAATAGGGACAATTTTAATTATTATTTTAACATGACACAGCGGTAAATATTTGTTTTTAATTGGTTTTTATTGGGGATAGCACTTTGTACTGTTTTAATATGCTGTGAGCCGCCCTGAGTCCTGTGGGGAGAAGGGCGGCATATAAGTTTAAATAATAAATAAATAAATAAATAAATTATCATTTCTGTCTAAGTCACAAAAAGTCTAAAAAGGTTTCCAGAATTTATAAAAGTATTTCTTACTTTGATTCTGACCAAAAAAATCCACTTTGTATTCTTTGCTTCTGACAATTGTGATCTTTAATTCACCAAGTTGCTCATGAACATTGAATCTCCATTCAAACTTACTTTTTCTCCCATTTCAAAGGTATCATCAAAGCTTTAGAAACCCTGTTTTCTAAATCCACTGATACATCTTTTATTGGGTCATTTTTCATTGCTTGGCTTATCATTTCTATGATGGCTATCCTCTCTATCATTTAAACCACAATTTCTTTATCTTCAAATGTTTCTCCATCAACTAGAATTTTTTTCTTTTTTCTTTTTTATGCTGCCTGGAACTTTAGTCCCCTCTAGTATTCCATTTTTATAATCACAAAGTCTCACATTTCTTTATTTTCAAATTTCAACCAATTATCCTAATACACCGAACAATTTATGCTCCCACAAAGATATTCTTAATTCTTCTAGTCCCTTAATACATTTTAAAAAATTTTGAATTAAATTTTTATTTTGCTCTGTTGCCATTTATTTTATATTCTTTCAAATTTTTAAGTTTCTCCTCTTTTTTGGGAGAAAGTTCTATTCTCTATGTAGGTTTTCAAATTTATTACTTGGAAAATCACTTTTAACTTTAAAATAACTATAAGTCCAGAAATGTTTAGAAAGTAAGGTTGCATGAACTTGGTTCCTTAAAGGCCTTGCCATAGTTGAGGTTTTGATGGCTTTTCTTTTCTCCTGGCACTCAGACCTATGGTACAACTACTATCCTGTGATCTCCTTGTGAGGAGCAGTTGTTTGGAGTACAAGTGGGCAGTCTCTTATCTTTTCCTTGCCTTGAGTGGTTCCATTCAACCAGGTTTCTTGCCATTCCATTGGTCTCACCCCTATCCTTGTCTCCATTCCTTCAGAGATGTTTTAGCTTGCCATTGGCTCACCCAGAATTTTGCTTTATTTTTTGTTTCTGTATAAACTACCTTCATTCCTTTTTCTCTCATCATTTGGCCAAAATTTGTTTCCAAAGTCAGTATAATTTCTTCTTCTAATCTCCCTATTTCGTGCCTTCACTCTTCTTATGCTTAATTGTTTGAGCAGCATCTTTCTTAAAAGGTGTTGTTCCCAGCTCGCAGCTCCTAAGTTTCAGTTGCCTTAA